AGATACACATAATGATTTGTATACAACCCTGGTATAACATACTACTAACATAGATACACATAATGATTTGTATACATCCCTGGTATAACATTCTATTTAAGATTAATCACTTTATGTTGTAATGTACTTGTATAGATACTATAATCCATTGAATCCTCACGAATATCAACATATTTGGTAAAAGTAATAGATGTTAAAAAGATTTGCTTATATATGAGTATGAATTCCATGTAAAAGTTAACCTTTCCGCGTGACGAAATTGAGACTAAACATGATCAAATATTCATACGGTTATTTAAAAAACCGTTTTCACATACACTAACTTTACCTTTAGAAATCAATGCCGACCTTCCCGGTACAATTACTGTATCATTAACTGTAACATTGTTTTAAAGGTCATACAAATTGTCAAAGGACTATGACATTGGTAGATCATACGAAAATGTCTTAGCGATTTGTAACGACAAGTATTGATTTCATTTTTGTGGACAATTTTGGAAAAAGTGTGAAATACTGTATACAGGGAATCTTTAGCCGCAGTTAAACTTTCGCCCCTTTCGCCTTCGCACTTAAGTACTAAAAGCACTTAACGCAAAAATACGTCTTTTGTCATTATGTAGTCATCTTTTTACATTATGTACCTTCGCACTTAAGTACAAAAGATTTCCTCTTATCCCTATTGTCACAATGGATGGTTCCGTTTACATTATACAAAAGCTGAGAAAAAGTTAAATTCTGTATATAATTAATTAGCATACTTTGCTCTGATTGGTTGATGGCTTTTACACATAAACTTTGTCAAATATATGTGGTAAAGGTTAAACTTGGTCAATATTAATGTTTGTAATTACAAAGGCTAACATACGGCAATCTGAATGGTCGACCGTTTCCACACAATAATTATTAAATATACCATACCAAATGGAAAAACAATATTTTTTTTTTAATATTTAAACAGTTTTATCACTGTAAATACATTAATTCCAGACTTTAACCTTAATAGTGTTTTTTTGTATATATATTTTTAATCATTTCTCTGTAGTTACCTTAAACCAATGATAACTTACAATAGATGGTGGGGTCTCTGACCAAGTGTCTACCTAACCCTCCCATGTGAATGATTCTAGAATCTGTAGAACATGCCATGTATTGTAATGACTATTATCAATGTCTTCATTTTTTTGCATGAATTATAATTTTTTGAAACTTAAATGTCTTAAAATGATCTGATCAGACACAAACTATTTCTACTGGTTTTAGTTCATATAATTACTAAGCATGTCAGTTTGAAAGATATTCCTCCATTAATATTAGTGTGTGAATTAATTATGGGATCAAAAATGCATAATGTCATATCTACATATTTTGGAATATATGTACATTGATTGGTATCGCATCAGTCTTTTCAACTGTGAAGTTTGTTGAAGATGATTGCTTGTAAGAAAGGAAGTAATACATTTACGAGGTTGTTGTTATGAAATTTGTGCTTGTGAGAGGACTTCTGCGGCTGTTATTTGTACATAATGTGTTGAATATTTCACCAAATGTAAATAAAATCTGTTACAATATAATTATGCAGTTTTAAATTTTCTTGTGAAAATACCATCAACAACAGGAAAGAGACACTGTAATAGGAGTGGGAAAATCCACTAAAGTAACAGACACAACATGAAAGGAACAGTCATATAGTAACAGACACCACATCATGGGAACAGTCATGTAGTAACAGACAAAACATGAAAGGAACAGTCATATAGTAACAGACACCACATCATGGGAACAGTCATGTAGTAACAGACAAAACATGAAAGGAACAGTCATATAGTAACAGACACCACATCATGGGAACAGTCATGTAGTAACAGACAAAACATGAAAGGAACAGTCATATAGTAACAGACACCACATCATGGGAACAGTCATGTAGTAACAGACAAAACATGAAAGGAACAGTCATATAGTAACAGACACCACATCATGGGAACAGTCATGTAGTAACAGACAAAACATGAAAGGAACAGTCATATAGTAACAGACACCACATCATGGGAACAGTCATGTAGTAACAGACAAAACATGAAAGGAACAGTCATATAGTAACAGACACCACATCATGGGAACAGTCATGTAGTAACAGACAAAACATGAAAGGAACAGTCATATAGTAACAGACACCACATCATGGGAACAGTCATGTAGTAACAGACAAAACATGAAAGGAACAGTCATATAGTAACAGACACCACATCATGGGAACAGTCATGTAGTAACAGACAAAACATGAAAGGAACAGTCATATAGTAACAGACACCACATCATGGGAACAGTCATGTAGTAACAGACAAAACATGAAAGGAACAGTCATATAGTAACAGACACCACATCATGGGAACAGTCATGTAGTAACAGACAAAACATGAAAGGAACAGTCATATAGTAACAGACACCACATCATGGGAACAGTCATGTAGTAACAGACACAACATGAAAGGAACAGTCATATAGTAACAGACACAACATGAAAGGAACAGTCATATAGTAACAGACACAACATGATAGGAACAGTCATATAGCAACAGACACCACATCATGGGAACAGTCATGTAGTAACAGACACAACATGATGGTAACAGTCGTTTAGTAACATACACAACATGATGGTAACCGTCATGTTGTATGTGTGTAGTATTGTTGTAATATACATAATATCATGGGAACAGACATGTAACATAAACGACATTATGGGAACAGTCATGTAATATATAAACATGATTGGAACAGTCATATAGTAACATACAATATGATGGGAACATTATTGTTGTCACATACTCAACATGATGGGAACAGTAATTAAGTAACATGCATAACTTCGTTGAAACCGTCATGTAGTAACATACACAACATCATGGAAACAGTCATGTAGTAACATACACAACATCATGGGAACAGTCATGTAGTAACACTCAACATCATGGGAACAGTCATGTAGTAACAGACTGAACATGCACCAAGTACATAAAACAATGGGCTATAGCCAATAATAGGAGCGGAAAATGCAGCGCCAGACTATGTTTTAAACCTGAGATCCCCCAATGTCTAAGCAAAGAGTTAATTGGTTTCTAAAAATCCAAAAATTAATTCTGTTTTTACCAAATTCGATCTGCATATGCCTGTGGCTCAGTTTGCCAACGTCCACAGTTTGTAAATTCATGTACACATTCAGCATCAGGAGACCACTGGAGAATTTTGAGAACACGTCTGTAGGATTCTCCTTATTGAACAATATGTCTACATCAAACCACAATAATGAACTGATATGAAATGTCCTGCATGCTTGGGAAACAGTAACTTGTTTTTGCAGTGTAAAAATAATATTTACTGTTTAAAAGGGCACCATGATTTAGTATCCCCTAACAAATTTAGTTATTAATTTTTTTTGTGTGTTTAAAATTACAAGGACTATAGATATAAAACAATGACTACATAATGACTATTTGTACATTTTATTCAATGACATGAATCAGAACATAAGCAATGTTGTAACTCAAGATGACAAATCAACAGTTATCAAAGGTCAATATAATAATACATAAATAATACATAAATAATACCTAAAAAGAGACACAGAATTTGAACACAGATATGAAGTATGAAATTGATTTAGCTAAGAGAAAGGACAGTAAAAAGACAACACTTAAAAAATGAAAAATGAGGTAAGGTTCAAATAAGTATAAATATTTTGTTAAAATTTAGATTTCACTTTAATCATTTCACAAAAAGGATTCATTATCAAGAATCTTTACTTACATAATGGGAGCCTAGCACCTGTTGTGTTTGCTTAATCAACATATATGAACTGCTATTCAAATTCCCATATACAAAGAAAATGGTGGGACTTGGTACAGTTTTCCTACAGAGTTTCTTCTCTCTTACAAAAAAAGATAATAAAAATACAGTTAATATTTCAAATAATTTCAATGCATTAGGAAACTATAGCTCCATCTGACACAAGTGAGACTTAACTTTTGTTATTAGTGACTTGTTCACATTTTTTTAGTATATGTCTCATAAACCTGATTTTAATGCTTTTCCTGTTACTATTCCCAAACATTCTGACCAAATATCTTGGAGAAACCAATTGAATAATTTTCTTTTTTTCAACAACACAAGACATGATTTTACTATAAAAGACAATAAATAAATAAATAAACAAGTATCAAGTTGTAATTTGTGTCGGTACAAAACGTACAATGGAACCAATTCATTTGAAAACAAATTACTGAACATTGCAGAACATTTCAGTAGGATAATTGACATGGATAGCAGGAATGATGTCATATGTACAGATTAACTTAACGCATTTTGCACAACAATCAAGCAGAACTAAAAACAACTACATACTTTCTGGGGAAAATATATCCATTTTGCTAAAAACGAAACTTTAATAATGGATAAAATGTGTACAAAACTACAGAGAAATGATTAAAAATATATATACACACAAAAAACCACTATTAAATATCATGAGCAGTATTCACAATATGACTTATAATAAGATAATAACACCCACTTGTTGTCACTCCTTTTTTCCACACATGAAGCATTGTATTTTTCGAATAATAAATACAATTGGTAATGAAAGGGATTTACAGATGAGGGAAGGCCTATAACAAACAACAAAAACCCTAAACATTTGGTTTTTCCTTGGCGTATAATCATACTGTCTTTATCAAAACAAAGTAATCATTCCATACTTGATGGATAGGTCTGTTGCCTAGCAACAGACCTATCACAATTTTGTATTGTGAGCAATTTTCATTGCCACTGACACTGATCACAGTTTAGATAACACATTAATTTTGCCCTGATATTTAAACTGGAAGTACTGGTTGACAAGCATCATGTGGAACCTCAAATACCTGAGGCAAGGAGTGATTGTTATGCATGCTTTTGTTTTGTTTAAATGACAGAGAGAGATCTCAAGTTCATTTGGAAAAAACATCATTCTTTAAGTAACAAACATTCTGAATGATTCGTCATTCCTAATAATTCTAAGGAACTCTCTCTTGAATTCCTGCAGAGTATCATACTCTATTGGTACACTTATGACATTGCCACAAGTTCTACCAATAGGGTATCTCAACAGGCCCTGTGCATGATGAAAGCAGACAGTGATACCACCGGAAGTTGGCATTACACATGACCCTGTTACGAACTGCAAAAAGCGGGAAAGGTCTTCTGAAGACAATGAATAAACAAAGTCTTTCAAGAAGTACAATACCCGCTCTTCCTCAGGTCGCAACAGGTCATTCTCTGTCTTCAACAGGCCAATGACACGAGAAGGGGTAGGCGTCAGTCTTTCACACAAAGACACCAGGTCACCTTGTGTCACCTGATGGAAAAAGACATCCTTGTAGATTTCAGGGATGCCTGAGCCCATCAGCTGACACAGGAACAAAGGCTTCCCAGTCAGCTCACATGCAGCCAAATTCTCTATGTGCCGTCTGAAATTGTCCTGTGTAGGCATGACCGACATAGAGAACCTGGCAAACATGTTCGTCAACTGAGAAAGCTCATCAGATGTCAATGACGTGAAAGAGTCTAGACCTTACCGGGTCAAAGCGCGCTCGTGCTCAGACACAAACAATAAGAAATCCTCTAAAATGATTTTCTTATCCTCCGCAATCTGACCCAGAGCAGTGCTTATCAGGACAGTTCGACATATCTGCAAGGGGAAACCTTTTGTCAAGGCAAGACCATGACAAAGAATTCTCCCCAAGACTGGATAAATGGAACTGGCCTGAGAAAACCTGTGTGGAGGGAGGTGTGGTACCAACACATCCTCACTTGTGAACAATCTAGAACAGGCTTGCTCCCAGAATGTAGAAAACAGGTCCTTTGTAAGGCCACCTGCATCCTCTCCAGACTCCCCAGCAAAGGTGTCCCCGAGTCTGTGCTGTAACACCCCAGGATCCAGGTCCATGAGGTCTCCAAACACGTGGTCTCTTCTCACAGTGACCTGCTGTGTGTCCGAAAAGACAGCATCTAGTCTGGCAAGTGCTGAAACACATAGAAACCTGATATTAACCTGGAATATTTCTTTGGGGTAATTTTGTAGCTTTTTATTAACTAGACCTGACAATTTGATTGAGGAAAGATGATACCTATTTTGTATTGTGAGTAATATGAAGACACAACCCATTCTCTTTGATATAGTGTAAAATTTACAGTTCCTTTTGGTTCAATGAGTAAAAGACACAGGCTATAACCTTTTTCAAAGACAACTGAATCGAACATAATAATACAAATGTATGAGTGAAACAAGTTAAGACCAGTAGATAAGATAAGTGAGGAAATATCCAAACAGGATTACATTACAATAATTAATAACCAAATATTAAAAAGAAAGTTAGGAAAGCAGAGGCACACATAAATATCTTGCCCCCAACAAAGTGAAGTGTGGCCTTTGACCCTTTAACTTTGAGTAATGTCCACCAAAACCTGAACCTGACATAACCACAAGATCATGTAAATATCAACTTTATTTGTTGAGGGTTTCATGAGGTTTTTTTCTTTCAGAAGTGGTCATGTGTGACTTTTCACCTTTAACTGATTACAACCAAAATCTTATCAAGTGTAGGTCTAGTATTACCTCTAGTATTAATATGAAATAAATCTGCTGTGAGATTTGATAAAAAGTCACTTCATTATTTTCAAAGAAATGGTAGTAACAAGAATTGTTTAAAGACACACACAGACCAAATACATGAGGCATTTTGAACACCCCACTACAAGAGGCCGGTTGGCTGAAAATGTGAAAGGAAATCAATCTGATAGCCTTGATGTTGTTACATCAACAAACTTGCGTTTTCATATCAGTGGTACATTTTATACTTACAATGGAATGATCCTCTTCCAGTTCCCGTGATGGTGGATGCAGTAACCCAATGGGTGGCTAAATAAGAAATTTGGACCAGTTTAGTTGCAAAGAATGTAGGTTAATTATTGACCTGCTTTCATTTAGGTTATATTTGCACTTCTTTCATTTACTTTTATTTTCCAACATTAACTTAATATAAATAAATTTTGACATACTGTTTCAATGGAACCGAAATGTTGCAGTTAAATAATAGCTGCCTGGTGATCACAGAAATTGTATACGATGCCAATCCCAATGTTATATGTTTCTTTAAAACAAATCCTTTTTTTTTTTTTAAATCTAAATGATTTCATTTTAAATCAGTAAGTTTATCACACAAATTCTAAAATGTATGGTTACAAGAATTTTAGGCATCTTTAATCAATCTATTTCAACTATTTTAAAAAGTGTGTCTTACCACACTCTTTGCCTTCACTAAGCGGTTAGGCCATATTTGAATTTTATTTAATTTTCAATTAAATTATTGTATATGCTACTCATGTGGTTCTCCAAATAGGTCAAGGTCATTTGTTTTAGCATTCAATATTCCATGCCAAATTTATTAAAAAGAAACAACATTCACCATATTAAGGAGTTGTGATTTTTAAATTCACACTTCCGCTTTTAGGACTTATTTGTCTGACCCAAGTGGTGTTATACTATATCTTAACTACAGAATTCAATTAAATGGTTAGGTTTGAGCAGCACTTTCAAGAAATTATTGATAGAGGACATATACCCTAGTGTGGCATAAACCATCTCTGTCCTTAACCTTTTAGGCAAGGGGAGCTAATAATTCACACTTGAAAGTTATTTTGTTGAACTGTACCTCTGGAGTTGCTACTGGTCTTGCAGCTGGTTGTTCTTCTCTTTGGATAACACTGTCTGCATTTGATGGCTGTAGATATAACCAAGTCTTTGTATATGGTGAATCAATCATTGAGGACATAGGTATACATCCATCAAATCTTGTTTGTCACTTTTATTTTGTGATTAAAGGGGATTAAGGAATCGCCAAATTCCTACAATGCACAGCTTTTAAATATACAATGAATATCACTTCATGACCCTAACATAATTTATAATGTATATCTTTATTTTTTCTCATCGACCTTGCTATGATATTATAACCTATAAGATATCAAAACTGCAAAGGTGCTAGCTAACCATCTTGCATCTGTGAAACAGAATCATAAGGTCAAATGTACTGAAAATTTTAACTTATTTTACTCAGGTAACCTTTAAACTATTTGAACAATCAGCATTTAGAAACAAACTAGAACAGGCCCATTCATTAGGTGCCAACATGTCTTCCAATATTCATAAATATTGATGAACAAGGTTGAAAAAAACAATACCTTCAGATTAATCATATGAACCGGAAAATGAGCACAATATATTGTGTAAATTTAAAACTAGTAAACTTATAGTGGCAACTGGAAGATGAAATCATGTTGAGAACCAAAACATATTGCAATACCCAAGACATTGGTGAGGAATCTTATTACTCGTTAAAATGTCCCTTTTTCCCCCCCAACAGATTTTTTTTATATAACTACTCTTATGCAATGCCAAATATTGTTCATTTCTCAGAACTTATCTATACAATGTTAAAATTTCAAGAAATATGCATATATTTATCAATATATTTGTTATTAATATATTTGTCATAAATATATATGATATTTGATGTTGTATACGGCTGTTAAGATGTTTTCTCTGTTCATTTTTTAATTTTGTAAAGAGAATTTAAGTTAAAGATTAAAAAAAAATTCTGCTAGGTAGATTTTGATAAATGTGTCACACAATTCACCTGGTAAAAAATAATTTAAGATAATTTAAGAAGAAGAATTTAACTTTTCCAGTCAAAATAATTTTAACAATCAAAATAAAAAAATCGGGAATTCATATGATATCTGTATTTATAAGTGACAACCCACTTTTAGATGAAAGTAAATAAATTAACTAAAATGAGCTTACAACTCTTAAATCCCTCTTGGGGATCAGGAACAACTTCCCCTGGCCTATCTGCTTCCTGAGATCAACTGGTGTGTTGGGGTTCAACACTTTCAAGTGGCGCCCTTTGTCTGCCTTAGCGAAGTAGAACCCAGACAATCTTAGGTTGACATTAGGATAATAATCTACAAGAGTATCCTCAAAATCCTCCAATGTTTGGAATTCTATAACTGACTCGACAGGATACCTATCATGGGGACTAAGCTGTATCCTGGGGTATCCTGAAAGTATTTGTTAATGATTTTATCCAAAAAGTCATATTGGTATGAAAAGCATTGTATGCAATTGACAATCTTTCATTTTTAACAACTTACAGGAGCATTTCATCATGCATGGCCTTTCAATATGTACTACCAGCCTGCTATTAGTGATAGGTGTTTGGGGCTTTGGGGTACAGTTTGACTTACAGTGTTACTTATATTGTTCCATCAAGAAAAGTTGACAAGCTTTTACAATAACGCTGGAATTTTTTTCAGTAATCTGACTTATTGACCTACAGGAGGAAATTATAAGCATCTCAAACTGTTTTGCCACCCAAAAATGCTTACCAAATCCACAACGCTGAAGCCTGTTTTTCTCCGAAGTTGTCGGTATGAAATCATCATTGGCCTTAGACATTAGAAAAAAAACAGGAGTTTCCATGTGGTACTGTTTCTTCGTCCACGATTTCTAGAAAATAACAAACAATGATGTTATTTTGTTATAGTAAGATTAAGAAAGAAATCAACCATGAGCCAATCAAATCGGAATGCATGAATTTGTTTTCAGGTTCTTACAAATCAACAATCAGATACATTTCCATATATAGACAGCATGCAGACTATCAGAAAGGTTTATGTAGTTTATAGACATCATTTAAGAGTTGTGTCCCTTGCATTGAAAATCTCCAATCGCGAAAGTGTGGACAAAAAAAGCTGTCGTAACGATGTAAACAACGTTGTGGCACTGATGGCCAACATGCAAGCCCAACGTAAAATTGAAGTAATTTTTTTGGTTGGAATTATACTGTATTATATTCGTACATATGACTTTTGGGGATTTAGAATTATTATTGGTACAAATGTTAGAGTTGTCCCTCTTTTTTGTATCTTTATAATTGTTTGTATAATAAGTAAGTCTGCTGGGGTTTTTTTCCCACCTATATTTTCTTTTCGTTGTCCTTAACGTGTTGCATTGGCACTCGGAATGTTATTGATTCATGTAACGGGCATTTTTGTTTGTTTTAGTATTATTGTTAGAAAATTACTCAGGTTTTTTTTTTTTTTTGTTCATCGGTATTGACATTGTTTTTATTTTTTATGTGTTATATTTCTAATAAACCATTGTTGCATCAAATAAAATGTATTTTGTTTCATTTTGTTCCATTGAAGAAAAAATAAAAATAAATCGAAATTTCATGATATCCCAAAAAATCTTAAGAAACTACCACAAGGTATGGGTTATTGTTCAGAAATAATTTGGTTAGGCCAAAAAAGGGGTGTCTGTTTAGGGTTCCCGACTGACCCTAGCTTTTTACCCTCGACCCAAAACTTTTTGATGAAGATGAAAAAAAAAACCCGCTGATTTTCGAATTTTAGAAGGTTCCTTGCTTTTCAAAAAGCCTTCCAGCTCCGTATTGGCGCTAAATGTCATCATAAGGAGCACAATTTGCCTCCAAATGAACCTTGTTTATGTAATTCTTTGTTTTACATACAATAAATAGTAGGGTAATAATCACATGACCAAAAATATAAAAAATAACCCAAATCTGACCTACCTACCCTAGTTTTTTTGCCCATACAATCCTTAACAGACTATATATTTTTTTGGCCTTATGCAATAGCGATGTCGTAGAAAAAAGAACCAATGACTCATTACATTTTTAGGCACAGGGACTCCCCGGGGATCCTTAAGTGAAAATATATATAATGGAAATTAAATTTTGCATTTCAGTGATAACACATTAAAACACATTATGGAATTAAATCTTTTGCACTTAAGGATGTACACCTCTGAGAAGTCAACAATTTCCTGTATTAAACTTTTTTTCTTATATGGATTTTTGGAAAAACGAGTTAATGGCATAGTAGACAAGAGTACCGCGGGGCGGAACAAAAGACGCCTGTCTATTGCCATATAGTGTTATATACTTTCTTGCATTGAAATAAGATCTGCATCATATGCTATAAAAAAAGTAGGAGAAAATCTTCAGACAAAAAATCAAATACTGAAATGAACAAAAGGCAATAAATTTTGCCAAAATCGTCGAATCAAAATTCTTTAAAGGGAGACAAACCTTCATATCATGATTATAAAGTAAACCAAGTTTGAAAGAGATCGGTCGAAAAATGTGGGAGGAGATTGCCGGACAAAAATCAAAAACTGAAATGAACAAAGAGGAATAAATTTTGGAAAAATTGTCGAATCAAAATTCTTTTTAGGGAGACACAACTTCAAATCATGATTATGATGTATACCAAGTTTCAAATAGATCAGTCGAAAAATGTAGGAGGAGATTGCCGGACAAACAAAGATGACGCTGGACGGACGGACAACGCCATACCATAATACTACTGTCAAATTTACGGTCAAATAAAAATACAAAAACAAATATGTCCGTGTGGTGGATTTTGTGCTATGATCGGTCAAAGATACCACTTTAACACAATATGTGATTTAAGGTGATTTTGTTTTGTTTTGACCATTTGCTGAACAAATTTGTACAATTTCTTCCAAGTGTGTTATCAGATATGTATGAATGTTTGTAGAATTGATAAAAATATTATTTTCTTTTAAATTATTGAAGTAAAATTTCTTGATCTGATTCTTTTAACTCAAAAAAGTTAACCCTACCCCTTATTTTTTAAATGCTCATTTTTTCACCATTTTTTGCAGATTAAATGCTTGAAATAAAAAGTTCCGCTATTAAACTTTTTTAAATATTTAATGAATCAAAAGAAAATGTGTTTCTCTTTCTAAAACAGCCACAAAAATGTGGGGTCCGTGTGCTTTTTTTTGGTCCCATTATTATTTGTGCTATTTTTCACCTTTTTTGGGGTCAAATATCAAAAGTGCTTTAGTTCCACTAAATATGAAAAAAAATACCAATAATGTATAATTTTCCACTTTCTTGCATATTATTTTTATCATATTGAACATTACAAAATTGTACAGCAAAACTGAACCTGCGACAATGACGACAATTTAAGTGATCAATCTAGTGTCAAAAAGGTGAAATTTTGGCCTTTTGTGAAGAGCAAGAAATACACATTAATACACATTTTCAAAATGGACACCAAAGTGGTCATTTTTTTTTTATTCTTGTAAAAAAGGTTCTGCAAACAACAGGCTTCTATTTTTTTAGCATTTTTTTAGACGCCTGTTTGCTATTAAACTGGATCATAATTTGTAAAATATTACAAAAACCGGTTACACCAGATCGAAACGAGACATGAATGTGATCCAAACCAAAGAATACATCCTTAAGTGAAAAAAACACATAATTGAAATATATCTTAAGCACTTAAGTGAAAAAACCCACATAGTGCAAATAAATCTTTTGCACTTACCAGGTAAGTGAAAAAAACACAAGGAATATATTTTTTACATGAAATATGAAATCACCTATGATATTTTTGTTACATTAATGTGAGAATACTTCTGTTTTTGCAAAATAGCACTTCAGTGTTAATATTATTTAACTTGTAAAATGTGACAGTCAAAAAATATCTAGAATTTAACAAATATATTAGTGATATAGTTTAATTATTCAGGTGTATTTTTGAATTCAGATTTTTTGGTTATAAATTCTGAAAAAAAAAATCAACAAAATTGTTGACCCCATAGGTAATTTCAGCTCTGTTTGCAGTAAATGTGTACAAGAAAAACGTTTAATTTGATACATACTTATTTTTTTTTTAACCCCCTTAAGTTGGAGGATTTTATACCCCAATTCTTAGGAATGATATCATGAACTAATTTGGAACACTGCCATATTTGGTATCAATCAGAAAATTTAGTACATAATTAAATCTTAACAGAAACTGAAATTTAGAATTCTGAAATTTATGTTTTAAATTCCAGTTTATCAAGAAAACATAAAACAACATGGAAGAAGGAGTTAAATTACATTGTAGAAAGGTATTCGAGAATAAGGATTATTTATTTTTGTTGACAGGACAACATAAACAACAAGTGCTGTATATTTGTGTGTGTGTGTGTGTCTGTGCGAGTTTCTTACAATCACAAGTTGAATAGTTTTTTCTTTAATAGCAGTTAGCCGAAATACTTAATAATGTGTTGTTATATCATAAATAATTAACAGTGTCGCATATGGTGCATTTCGTTATGACTTTAATTGATGTGCAATTACAAACTCATTTAAGTGAATATCATAAAATATTACATGGGTAAACATGTTTAGTAACATCATGAGTACTACTGTTTAAAAATTAAATACAATTTAATAGATCCAAATAATAAATAATACTTAATACAGTTAAATTTCTGGAGGAAATGTTTTTAAATCCTGTCAAAACAAACTGTCGGACAAGGAAATTAAAAATGTTGGCACTCAGAGATATGCAGTCACAGGTGCTAGTTTATAGGGACTGCCTTGTGTATACATGAACAGCTGCCAGTGACACTTTATAGTACAGACAGTAATTGGCGTTAATTTATTTATCATTGTTACCAAGTGTCAGACTGTCTCATTGTATCGTGATAATTCCTAGCTTACAAACAAATATGAATAAATGGTAAAATGTTGAGGTACGCGATAAAACAGTCAAATATATAATATTTTGTTAATGAATGCAAATAATTTGAATGTGATAAAGTAAATAGTGACTAATTTTCAATCAAATTGTAAGTTATATATAAATCATTTGTGTTAATTTTCAAAAAACAGAGAGAAATTTAAACAAAGATAAATGTATAATCAAATTGTATTCTTAGCAGGTCAATTGAATAGTCTTTATATGCCTTTAAGGAAATTATAGCTTCTTCTGAGCCAGTTTAATTCATCAATTATTACAATCGAGAGGTAGTCTGAATAAGTTTTAAGTAAAATTGTTGCTGAACAATACAACAATGTCTGTTTATTTATTCATAATCAAAAGATAATTCCTTATTATTGTCAGTTATGTACTCAGGTTCTCTAAAAAAACAATTAACTTGTAAACTGCTATAGTTTAAAAAGTTACGTAAAACAGCATACAGATATTTACATGATTTTCAGTACACCCTAATCTCCGCAAGAAATTTACCCATATAACCCCTCTCATCTAGGACATCATTCTCATGAGTTACAGTGAATACTTATAATTCTACTTGACAACATGTATACTGGTGTTATGAAAATATATGGGAATATGAATAATAACAAGGTTACCGCGAGCGGTATATAATACGCCCGTCACACATTGAATGAGCAGTTGTTTGTATGATTGAAATATATGAAGTATTTGTGAGTAATTGATATTAAAAGAGAAATCATTCAACATAACTGGTAGATCAATGAGTGCAATACAACATCATGGAACGCATGCATCGCATTAATGAAACCAAGGGTAATAACTCCAGTAATTA